GTATATTTAATGTCTTGAATACAAAAATTTTTATATATAATTTTTAACAGATTCGAGCGAATATATCTGCATTGGATATCGTTTATTATAAACAGTAAACTGAATTTACATGTTGTTGGCCGCCTTGGCTGCTCTTTATGGAACGCCTAGCAATGTTTAAAACAACAAAAAAAAAAAAGAAAAACAATAAGATAAATTGAGAGCTATATATTGTGCACTAAAAATTTCGCATGCATAATTCCTCATAATTTCCTTTGACAACATAAATGCAGCAATTTGGTGCAGATAATTTATCATTTAACTTGATAATGATTACACTTTCGAGTGCAATGGAACCTTGTGGGCATGGCCCTTTATGGCTCTCAGTGCAGCAGCCGCAGCCGCAGCCGCAACAGGTTACAAATACATAGCTACGCAGGTACATATACAGCCGTACCGTGTCTCTGCTTTCCTCTGCCGCGTCTGCTGCATTTATTAACGCGCTAGGAAACGGCTATAAAACGTACAGCTCAGAATTATGTAGATTTTTATCGGCGCGCCAAGTTTTCTGCATACAAAGTGCACAATTTTCATTTGTGAAAACCTGCCGAGCAGGCCAGAACGGAAAGGCAGACGGACGGGGGGACGGACGGACGAATGGAGACACAACACGTGGGCAACATAAGCGTTGACTGAGCAGCAGCCGATAAGCCAATGTGGAGACAACTTCGGGTGGCTGAGGCTAGACTCGTAGCCAACTGCCTGCTGTGAAGGATAACCAAAAGCAAAGCATTGCCTCGAGCCAGCTACCCTGCAGGAGTTCAATGGCCTGCGCTGAAAACGAACCGGCGAAACGGAAGTGTTTGCTAGGCAAAAGCGGCTTGGCAGCAGCCGCGTGCGGTCGCCGATTCCTGTAATGCAGCAGATGATAATCACAATCATCTTGGCCACTGTCCAGAAATGTTGTTGATTGACATGCTGCCAGTCCAGAGAGTGAGACAGAGAGAGAGAGAGAGAGAGAGAGGGCAGCCAGTCAACGGTGCGCGAATATCTTATAATTAAACCAGGAAGCGTTTGTGCTCCATGCTGCCGGCACAGGCCCAGTCCGAGTCTGGGCTGACCTGCAGCCATTTCAAGATCTGGAAATATTTATTAAAAATTATGCACGCATTAGTGCAGCATCTTGCCTAGCCGCCGTCTCTGGCGGGGAATGTCTCACCTTTATTAAGGAAATGGTTTGCGTTACGAAAATTGCACAAAATGTTGCGTATTATGATGCCGTTGTTGTTGTTCTTGTTGTTGTCGTGATTGCTGTTGTCCTCCTCGTGATTGCTGCCCACAGTTTATGGTCTTCTTGATGGCAGAATTCACTATAAAAAGCTTAACGATTGTGCGATAGGGGCCATTTCGGCTATTTAACGATACGCCCACAGTGAGTTGTCTTAATTTCCTGTTAAGTGATTGGAAAAACTAATTATACCCTCTGGGGAGAAAAGAAAGATAGAGAGAGGCAGAGAAAGAGAGAAGGAGGGAGAGGAGGATGAGGGATTCCTACCTATGTTGAACTTATAAATTCATATTACAACTAAAACACGCTTCGCATCTCCAAATAACGTAAACAAATTCGTTAGACGCTAATAGCAGTTGCAGCGTGACGGCAAAAACAGAAGCGGGCAACGGGCGGCGGGTAGTGGGGCAACGAAACAATATGGAATTTCACGTTTGGCCAGAGTTCAGACAGACGACCGCACGTGGGCGTGCCAACTGGAACAGAACGGAACGAAATGAAATTAAATGAAATGAAATGTTGTTGCATGTGGGCGGAACATAGGAAATGCAATTAATGAATTGTTAATGAAATCGAATGCAACTTTATTTGTTCAATGTATTTATTTTAAGTGGAAATTGATATCTGCATTTAGGTGG